CGACCTATGGTTACAGGGAACCTTCATTGATTTCCAACCTGAAGAAGTCCACACCTACCCGTCCTTACTGTGGGGAGTCCTATCAACCCTTTCCTCCCGATCCTCAAGCCCTCACTCTCTTCTTTGCCCCCGTTCAGCAGGAAGCAGTCAGAGAGAAAGCAACGTCCACAACCCCATAGAGGAGAAAGGGGGGAATGAAGGGCCCCCACCAGTAAGATGGCGAACTACCTGCTTCTCTTTGGGGTCCTCGGTTCCCGCCGGCGCCACCTGAAGCCCAATCACCTCTCTTCCCCCTCCCAATCCCAGCACCTAGCCAACAGCCACCAGCCCCGTAGAAGTGACACCTCAATCAATTCATGCCCCTTCCTATATAACCCAGCACCTTTCCCTAATAAAGCGGAATTCTCTGGTGAATTGCTGCTGTGTATCACTCCTTTCCTTTCACTGGCCCTCCGCTGAACATTGAGAACTCCATGGTAAGTAGAGCTGACATTGGTCCCTACCCTCACTGGGCTACAGATGAGCAGGGAAAAGAGGCATCAAGTCAAGCAATCACAAGCATGATGTATAAGCATTCTAATGCGGGGAAAACAGGATAAAATGAAGACCAACAGTTGGGGAGCCTAGTGTCCAGGTGAGAACGTAGTGGCGGACTGGATCACAGTCTTGGCGATGAGTTAATAAACACCTCGAAGAACTCATTCAAAGCAGCATGCCTCGGCAGTGTATAACACAGACAAACATGAAGGGCTAGGCTACCAACCATTTGCAACATAATTAAAGGAATTCTAATCAGAGAAAAGCCTTGGTTCTTCTCACTTTGTTTTGTTAAAAGATTCCAGGTTAGCACATTAGCACAATAGTCAGGACATACGCTTTTGCCCTAGTTTGACTTTCCATTCACTGAGTTCCACTTTTCTTTTAAAACAGACTCAGTACCCCTATATAAGCATAATAGCACTCCATATATTTTTATTCTAATATTAAGTTCTCATTTATTTTTGTTACTTCAGGATGCTTAAAATATATTAATGAATAAATTATTCTATAATCCTAGTATTTGTATGCTAGAGTTGTCCTAATGAGGGATGTAATTTTAGGTATCTAAATAAATGGAGTGGTTTAAAATAGTATTCACATTGTTTAAACATGTGTAGCTTAAGGGAAGGAGCTTTTCTGTGATGGTATTAGAAAATAATGTGCATTTATTTTGTCTATTGTCCTATGTGTATTTGTAGTCACATCCTCAGCTCACTGACAAAAATCACTAATCTAAAAGTAATTTCTTTGTCATACATGCAAATAAAAGAAGAAACTAGTTTAGAAGACCTCAGTGATAGATCTGATTCCTGGAAACCGTTAGAAAGTCTGTAAATCCAGCTGAAGATTTTTTTGGATGGTTCTATGGTTCTAGATTTGGGATATGTTCCTCTATTTTAACTGGGTCATTAAGAAATCACACAGCAAAATATCTGCTCCAGAAAAATGAAAGTGTACTGAATGCTAAGCTGAGGGAAAGGATAAACTTAAGCTGTCATTTCTCTTTGCTTCCTCCTGAAATACGGCTCAAGAAAGGGAGACCTGTGTGGAGATAGGGCAGCTGAGCTGCTGTCAGCACGAGTTCTGGCAGAGACAAGGAAAGGCTGTCACCTGCCCCCAGACCAGCCCATTGCACATGACAACATTGTGATTTGTCCTATCACACTGCATGCCAAGATGAGCCTGCATTCCAATACCACTATACTTTATTAAAACTCGTGTATCTTCAAGCCTTGAAGAAAGATTCCTGCTGTTGCTGAATTAAGTTAAACGTTTGGAGGATTAGAGTAAAAAAACAGTGTATATCACAGTGTAATAAATGGCAAAGAAGCTGATAAACGTGCTTTGTACATTTTTCAACTTGCTTAAAATTAATAACCCATATTAGCAATAGCCAACATTTTACAGCCTTACCAGCCAGTAATCAAACTTACCCATATCTGAAGTAAGTGCTAAAGTGCCTGCAGAGACGGTGAGCCAGTTCTCGTTTACCACAAGCTTCAGGCCCAGCTAATATCAGCATGGGGTAAGGTGCGTCCAGACTGGGAAGAGTGCTGTAACACAGGGCAGAGTCAGAGACGGGCCTATCCTGGTCAGACACACAGCGTGGTAACTGCATCCAGCGTTTAAGGTGTCTCTTTCGCAATCACAATTAACTCAATAATTGAGCACTTGCTATATGTAGGCATTGGATAGCAGCAGCAGCTTGGTCTTACTTTCCAGAAGCAAGCTGGTTATACTATGCCGAAAATAATATTTAAAGCATAGATAAGTAAAATCCAAATATACGTAAACCTATTAACAATTTCTTAAAAAGAAAAATACGGTAAGCTATATTAGTTCTTGGTTGATAAAAAGTATTCTTCCAAGGACTTCAAAATGAAAGAAATGCCCTAGACCACCCTCTGAGAGTTAAACTTTAGTAGCCACACCTCTTGAATCAGAATATAGATATGCAAAGAAACTGGTAATAAACTAAAATTTACAAGAGCAACGACTTTGTGCTGAGCACCATTCCAGAATTCTCTAGCTAATTAACATGTTTCTCTTATTATCCCCACTTAACACACAAACTAAAGAACAGAGAGGTTAATTAGCTTCCTGAAAGTAAAAGCCAGTTAAGTCCCAGCTGATAGATGAATTTAGGCATGGCTCTGGGCCGGAAAGACTGGACTAAAAATGAATTTATTCATAAGATCTCCTATAACATGCTGAGCAGAAGTGTTGAGATTCCACTCATGACACAAATTATAGAAACGCAGAATAAAATATAATATTTCAAAAATACATGGCTGAGGTATAGCTTCTATGAAGAATGGAGGCAGAGGCAGGGTAGTTTTTCAATCTCTGAAAGCCTATGTAAGAACAGAAAAACTTGAGAGCAAAAACCCATGGATAACTTGCATAATAAAATGAGATGAAAAGTCTCTTCACAAACAACACACCCCAAAACTTTCACAGCCTTGGACTCTGTGCTTGAGGAAGAAAGAGGAAGCAGTGCCCGAGAACAAGGGAACCCCAAGATGGCCCCTGGGAATTGCTGGTACGCAGGTAGGCTGAACTTGTGCAGGTACAACCTGTACATGAATGTTCATAATGGCTGTGTTGCAATAACCAAAAGGTGGAATCAGCCCAGATGTCAAGAGACGAATGGTTAAACTACCTGTGGTGCACACATACCAAGAAATACTCAGCAATAAAAAGGATTGAACTATTGATACATCCAAGTACTTTGACGAATTTCCAGGGAATCAAGCTAAGGGAAAAAAATAAAGGCAATCCCAAAATGTTATATACTATATGATTCCATGCACATAGCATTCCTGAAATGACATCACAGAGAGACAGGGAACAGATTATTCGTAGCCCGGAGTTAGGGAAGATGAGAAGGAAAGAGGTGACAATGACTGTAAAAGGGAAGCATAGGGATCCTTGTGACCAAACTCTCCTGTATCTTGACTGTAGTGTTGCTCATATGAATCTACACATGTGGTAACAGTGTGGAGAACTAAATGCCCACAAGAGTATAGGGAAAACTGACAAAATCTGGTAAGGTTGACGGATTGTATCAATGTCAATGTTCTGGTTTTGATATTCTGCTATAGCTGCGCAAGATATACCATTGGAGGAAACTAGGTGAAAAATATATAGAATTTCTCTGTATTATTTCCTACACCTCCATGTGAATCTAAAGCTATCTCAAAATTTCAAGAAGTTTAAATAATTAAAGAGAAAATAATTTGAGAGGAAGTAAAAATATTGAAGATAGGCAAAGGAAATCTTCATGAAAAAGAAAACTGAAGGAAGAGAACAAATATTAAAGACCGTAATTCAAGAAAACCTCCCTGTAATAAAAATATAAAACAAAACTGTACACTGAAAGAGCACAGAGCCCACCTGAGACTGACTACTGGCCCAGAATGACTAATGTCAAGGCAGTCCATTAAAATTACTGGACTTTAAAGAAAAAAAAATTGTTCTCTAGAAAAAGAGAACACATGACTTAGAAGGGAAAGAAAATTAAATGGTCATCAGATTTTTGACAGCAATGTTTTGTATCAAAAGAAAATAGAGCAACATCTTTACTATATTCAAGGAAACAAGTGTAAGACATGACTTTACATATAACATAAATGACTTTCAAATACAAAGTTTTATAAATAGTATCAACTTGTAAGAGTTCAAGGGATACTGATATCATAGCCCTTAAGGAATCTACTAGAGAACAAGCTTCATACGACCAAAATGACTCAAGAGACATCAATATAAGGTCTGGTGCTGAGCAACAAATATGCAGTTATCCACAGATACAAGAATAAATGACAGCAAAGGAGAAAGTATAATATGTGCTGGCTACATATTCTGACAATATAAATATAGCACACTATTTTTAAGATGGGGTGATTGACACTTATATGAAATATATACAATAGACAAATTCATAGAGACAAAGGTAGATTAAAAGTTACCAGGGACTGGGAGTAGCAAGGAATGGGAAATTACTGCTTAATGGTTACAGAATTTTTTTGGAAATAGATGATGATTACCGTTCACAACACTGTGAATATAATTAATGCCACTGAACTGTACACATGGGTAAAATAGAAAATTTTATGTTATATGTATTTTACCAGAATGAAAGAATGGTGGGGGGTATTAATGGGAAGAGAATAAGCAAGATACAGTTTTAATGTTTCCAGTAATCATGCTGGTGGTAGGAATGGTATTGGTATTCTGATCCTGATACTGTTGTGGTATAATATGGGATTTTAAAAAAATAATTATGGGATGTTCTAAATCCATCTTCCTCTGTGTCCCTGGTGTGGGAGAAAAGGAAGATACAAATATAATAAAGAAAAAGTTAAGTAAATGCTCAACTATAGTCTTGAAATTGAATTATAAGTATCAATATGAATTCAGCAGATATTCTGTCATCTATCTATAGAAAGATAGATCTATCTAGATACAGATTAGATACATATTAACAGATTGGACAGCTGTAGATAGATAGGTACAAATAGATAAACAGGATAGAGAGATTAGATAGATGGATGGATGGATGGGTGGGTGGGTTAGAGGGAGGGAGGAAAAATATATATTGTCCTTGATGTCCACTAAAAGGCCTAGAGGCAATGACCCACCCAGCAGCAATGATTACGTCCAGCACCCAGACTGGGACTGGGGAATCCATTTCTTGCTAAAACAAACCATGGCTTCTTGGAGAATGGCTGATTCCAAAGTTTGGACAGGACTTGTACAATACGGGCCTGGAGAACCTCGTCATACCAGAGAGCGAGAAAGCCATCGTAACTTCCAGCTCACAGTCAAGGTTCTGCTGTGTCATTTTAATATTGTATCCTCACCCCAATCAAACCAGGAGAGGGGACAGTGATTCCCCAATAATGCAGCATTACAGTCCCACAGTCAAGAATCAGGGTTCCTCTCCGGGAGCTGCCAGAGAGCTGGGTACCAGCCCAAGGCGGGAAAGGCAATGTCAGGCCTGCTCCACCTCCATGAGTCTTTCACAGTGAACACTGCCCCGTCCTGGAGCACCCAGAGCTGCTGGGCCGTTTGCTCTTGTTTTCCCCACAGCCAGAAATGATCAAGAAATATGCATTTATCAGACACTGCTGTGAATTTCTTTGATACATATTTTTATATAAATTTACCCCAAAGCAGGAAACAACTAGCAATATCTCATAAACTAGAAAAGAAATACAATGAGGACATAAACGCCCTTCTTTTAAATCAAATGTGCTTTTCCAGATATATGCAAATAAATGATAAATCATTTCACCTAGAGGGCTACCATAAATATATAAAACTGTCAATGCCTATATTATTAAATTACATGTAAAACATCATGTCCTGCATGCAAAATAAAACATTTTGCTCTCTGTGGGAAACCAATCCTGTGGAGCACAGGGACAAATACCACATGAGGAAGGGAAGCCATTTAAAACCGAGAGATTTTACAAGTATTTTTAAAATGCCTTTGGGTATTGATAGAATTTCTGTATTATACTTGTAGCATAAATGGCCATCTGCTGCAACAGATTGTTTAAGAAGAAATGGAGAAACCGTGGTAAATCTGACTTCAAACTTAGAGGTGAGAGACGCTTTTCATGTGTTCAACCAAGCTGGGTGACCCACAAGCTCAGTGCAATCACTGTAAAGATTATTTCAGGTTTCCCTTAGGCTGGCTGGGCTTCCTTCTAGGGACTCTGTAATAATCTGCATCCACAGATGTTCTTTGAGCAGGGGTATCTCGCATTCACTCACAGCTAAGGAGAAATTTGCAAGGGATAGAAATCACAAGTCTCTGCTGAGGAGGCTGAGGTCTCTGGTTCTCTCCTATAGCACAAAAATTGACAAATTATTATTTTTTATTTCACTGACCTGTGTCACAGGTAACTACCATTCAAGGGGCTAGATGAAAGAAGGGAAATGAAGCCACTCATTGCCACACTTGGGGAAACACCAACAAGTGAGCTCCATATTCAAGCATGTGATGATCAGCGCTATAACCGAGACAACATAGCCTTTCAAATGAAGATCTGATCCTTTCCGTCAGAGAAAATGAGAAAGGAATGGGTCACACAATAGAGGGCCAAGAATAATGATGAGGATGTCCTGTGCTTGCCACTCTGAGGTCCACCTTGTGGATCCCTACTGAATACCTGTCAAAGATCCTCTGTGGCTGCATCACGCTGTTGACAACATGGGTCAGGTGATCTTGGGCAGCAACCACTTCTGGGGGAGGGTCATATTTATTCACTGCTGCAACCTTTTCCAGAATAAGAAATGCAAAAGGAAAACAAAGTTTGTCTCTAGAAAGAAGGCTTATTTTTTCTTCAATGAAATATTCTAGACATGCAACCAGGTATAGAAAATAATGTAATGAACACTCAGGAATCTTTGTGCTTAGTCT